TTATTATTATTATTATTATTATTATTATTATTATTATTATTATTATTATTATTATTATTATTATTATTATTATTATTATTATTATTATTATTATCATTATCATTATTATTATCATTATTACCGTTATAAGAAAGGAAGAAATTAACTATTGAATTACTCTTCTTTTTTTGAAAGTTAGTAGTGAAACAAAAAAGGTCAAAGGTTTTTCTAGTAACATTGAAGCAAACTTTGAAAAATTATTGCTGCAAAGAAAAGCAAATGTTGGACTCTCTTGTTTTCTTGCATTTGCAATTTTTTCGATACTTAATGGTAAAATAACAAGGAACAAAGGTTATCTGAAAATATTAAAACAAATTTTTCTGTACAGAAATTTTTTTTGCAATTATACGGTAAATTATTTCAATTTATACATTGATAATTTGTTTGTTTGCCGACAAAAGTCAATGATTATTAATGAAATGATTTTTAGAGTCAAATTGAAGTTATTTTCTCATTTCCTTTTTTTCGAAGTAAACTAAAAGTCTTTGGATTCCAATGAATCTTTAAATATATGCAAAGTTATACAGTATAAGATTTCTGTTTCTTTTTTCTGCAAAATCTACTGATTTAAATTTTTAAAATTTAAACAAACTCTTTTTTTGTCAAACCACGAAATGAATGAAATACGTAATTATAGTTTAAATTTGTCATTTGTTTTCAGATTAAAAAACGATTTGTGATATTCGCAATAGTAAAAGAGATTTAATGAAGGAAGAAAGTTTTGATTTAGTCAATTGTGAATTATCAAGGAGTACATTACAACGATCATTATCGTTGAATGATGAGGAATTGCCAAAAATTGGATGTTATGATTATACGGCTACTGCTTCTACATCACTTAGCACCGCATCTGTTCCGCAGAATTTACCTCAGTCCATGTTAATTATACGGGATTACATTCCGGAACAAATGTCGTCATGTCATCCACAAAATGGTACGAATGAATGTAAATTTTCTTCTTTCTGGACAGTTTTACATGATATAGATTTTTTTAATAAATAATTATTTAATCTGTCTTATATTTTTGTTATGTTTCAAATTCTATTTAGCAAAAATCTCTTCATACTTACTTAATTTATGCTATTTTCTTTCATATTTTTGGTGTAAATTTTTATTTTCAAAGAAATCGAAAAAAAAGGGTGAAAATTTCCTAAGAATGAGATATTATGAACAAATATGTTTAAAAATAATATAATTAAAATTTTCATTCAAAAGTATTATTAATATGTTTGATAGAAATTTTAGAAGAACTTCATTGGTTATTATTGAATGGAAAGGATCAACAAAGTTTTGGTAGTTGTATAACAATGGAATGTAATTATGATTGGAAAAATACTGGCACAAAGGATAAATATATTAATAATCAACAGGAATTATATCATAGTTACAATACATTATATCAAATAATTAATCAAAAATCAAATATGGAAATTTCGACGAAAAAAACAAAAATGCAAATATCAATGACACAAAACACCACATTGATACCATTGTTATTATGTATTGTATTGGTATTTTTTATGGTGATAACAGTACTATTGATAACGGTGATATTTTTGAGTACACAACGTACCATTACTACAACTACCACAGATAAATGGAATTCATCATTTAATTTTACCTTTACATATGCTGATCGGATACGTCAAAATTTAAATGAGGTTAATCATTTCTTTTCCTTTTCTTCTTTATTTTTTAATTTTTATGTTAATAAATTTAATAAAGATGAAGAAATTTTACAGCACAAATTACTAATTAATTATTATAAATTGTTCGTTAGTTATTTACATTAATCAACCAATTAATAACAATCAATAATAATAAATTAGCATAAAATATATCTTTACCTTATCAACATGTTATCATTTGTTGTTGGAAATGTGAAATTAATTTCTTCAGTAATAGAGAGAGGAGGGACACATTTAATAATTGAACTTTAGAAGTGATAAATCAATCTTAATTATGTCCAGTACATTATGGCTGACATTTCTGAAAATACTGTAAATCTTTTCTTTTTTGTTCTTCTTTTTCCTTTACTTCATATTTTGCATTTACTAAAAGGAAAGAATTGCCATTTATTACCCGCGATGGGCATTTAATTACCCATGATTGATAATTATCTATGAAAGATATCTGTGTTCCTTTTAGTAAATCAAGTAATAAATATTAAATCGTTGAGGGATATCCAAGCTCATAAGGTATTAAAAAATTGTAATTCACAATATTTATATCAAAAATTATTGTTCTTCCGTTTTTTTTGACCTACAAATAATTGCCTGAAATCAATTAATTAATTAAAAAAACTATAAGAAAATAGAGGAAGCAATAAAATTAATTAATTCTCACATAGAAATATTTCAATTTTATTTTATTTATATTCATAATTATTCATTGTAATGAGCCATTTTTATACTTATATTTTTTCTCTCTCTTATCAAATTGATCTTTCACACTTACTATCATTTTTAGGAATAACAATTATCAAATCAGTACTACATAATTATCACAAGCATAAGTAATTGAGAAGAAAATGAAGAAGAAAAAAACAAACAAAACTAATTTTTTTCAAATTATGAAAAAGCAATGTTCATTCATCCTACATTTCTTTCATTTCCATTAAATTCTCCAGTTGAAATCAATTAAAAATCGGTTGAAATTTTTTTTCGTTTTATTTTCAATCAATTTAAAATGGTTTAAATTATATTGAAAAAATAATTATTACAGCAAGCTCAAATTAGTCAACAATTGATGGATGAATTTAATGCTGCCAATATCAAAAGGAATATCAAATGGTTGTCTGAAAAAATACATGTTGCGGGTACCAAAGAAAATGCCGAACTTATGCGAAAAATTGCTGACAAGGTGTAATAATTATCCGAGTAATTTTATTAAGCATTATAATTTATGTAATCGTTGTAATTTTGAAATATTAAAAATTATGCAAATTTAATGGCTCATTGCAGTGCAAATCATTTATTTAATTTAAATGAATTTGATGCTCCAATAGAGAAATTTAGTCAAAAATTAACAACAATTTATTTCACAATAAATTTAATTTACAAAAAAAAAATATCGAGAAAAAATACCATGAAAATTTAATTAAAATTCCATAGATTTTTTTTATAAATTTTTTAAATATTTTAATTTGTAATATTTTCAGTATCACAGGTATGGATATGATGTGAAAACTTATAGTTATAATGTTTTATTAAATTATCCAAATTATGAAAAGCCAAATCGAATTGAATTACATATGGGTAATGAAAAATGGCAAGAGCTTAGTAATGGCCTTGCTGAACGACTTGGCCCAAATGAAGCACAGGAACAAGCAAGTTAATTTCATTAAATATTCATAAAATTACTAATATCTTCTTTGGTGATATTTCAAATTTTATATTTTCCAATGAAATTATTTAGAATAAAAAAAAAGATGAAAGAAAAATTAGCTAATTCAGCAAGAAGATCCGCGTGCATTGGTTTATTGGGCTGCTTATTCCGAAAATGGTACAGTAACTGGATCAGTAGTTTATGTTAATTATGGAACTGTTAATGATTATAAACGATTAGATAAGGTTAGGAAATAAAGCTATTCTTATTTGAATTCGTTAATTTCAGTTAATTAATTGCCATTAGTTTATTTCAGTTAATTACTATTAGTTTATTCCATACACTTTTATGCATACTATATGTTATTCATTCATTTTCTAAAATACTTTTAAAAAAGGTGAAAAAACGCTTATTATTTAAAAATTAAATTGTTCAAAAATTGAAACATTTTAATTATTTAGGAATTCTGTCTTTTCATTTTTATTTTATATCGAAAAATTTTTGAATTATTAAATCAAAATTAAATTATTTCAAAGCCAATTTAAATACAAAAATCAAGTTATTCTTTACAAAAAATTGATTAACACGATCACTTTTTTTTTGCCTGTTTAATTTAATATCGGTTTGGGAAAAACTCCCGTTTTTTAAATATGTAATAAATTTTGATTTTTAATATTTTGAATTGTTAAAATACTAACTTTCGGTTTAATTTAATAAGGACTTCTTTGGAACTATTTTTGATTAAATACTAAATATATTTATATTAGATTCTTTATCTAAATATTTTATAAATTAATCGGTATACTTTTTGAAAAATTTTTTGCAAAATTTACATTTATGAACTATAGTTGTATATTATTGTATTATAGTTTTGTCATCAAATGTGATCCACTATCATGCTAATGAGAAGTTCATTACGTGCTAGGCTTATTATAGGTTAGGCAAACATCAAAGTATATAAAAATGATACTATCAAATCAAAATTTTCAACAAATTTCATGGATATTTCAAAATGCACAATTTTCTGTTTCAAGGAAAAGGAGGTAGAAAAAAGGAAACAATTGCAACCCAAGCGACAATTACGCCCTTGACATAATTTAGCATGACTTATTTAAGTGTTCTCAAGAAGTAGTCGGTTAATTTTATCCATTCACTGACAACATCGTTGAGATATTTGCATAAAATGGAAAGGAAATTTAAAATTTTATACAAAATTATATATTCACAATAATAGAGGGAGTAATTTCAGTATGAAATTTCGTTGAAAGGTAAAATAGCATTATGTCGTTATGGTGGGATATTTCGTGGTGATAAGGTGCAACTTGCTGTTAAACATGGCGCTATTGGGATGATTTTATACAGTGATCCATTTGATTATACAAATGGAAGAAATGATATGAAGGTTAAGAAGAAAATATGCAAATTAATTGAATCATATAGATTGGATAAATTCCATTATACTTTTAGCGTTAATTTTATCAGACTTTTTGCAGAAAAATAAAAAGGAAGAGTTTGTGGATAATACTAATTAATTTTCTGTTTTTTTTGTTGAAACTTTTACGATTTTTAAATATAATCAACTACGGAATGTTTCCATCTTTTTTCATTTTAACTCATAAGGAAAAGTAAATTTCAATGGTTTAACACAAAAATTTTTTAAATTATATTCACTTTTTCGAATTTCTATTAATAAAAGATGATTTATTTTATGAAATGTGATATTGCAGGTATTTCCAAATGAAATTTGGTTACCAGAATCAGGTGCACAACGTGGAACATTGCTAAAAACGGATGGTGATCCGGAAACACCACTGTTACCATCAAAATACTACACTTATCGTACGGAAACGGAGGAAAATTTACGCGAACGGCAAGTAATGCCATCAATTCCGGTTATGCCTATTGGTTATCGTGATGCTCGAAAAATAATGGAAAATCTTAGTGGACCACAAGTTAAGGTTAAATGTTTTGTGATGATTTCCTTCTCTTATCATTTCCATTAATTAATTATATTATTGACATATTTTTAATTTTGAAATATAATAAACTAATTTGCTTACTTCTCAGTTTAATCGTCTAGTGTGTTTTTTGATTTATTTCTGACTCTTTCCTCATTTACATTTAAATTAATATTTAAGTTTCTTGACAGTCACTATTTAATGTATATGCAAATTTATCCATCGAATTTTCTGCATTTTCAACAATTAGGAATTTTAAACTATAATAAAAGCTTGATAAGTGATAAAAAAATAAATGATTGCAATCTTATTAGAACTAAATTTTAGTTTCATAGCTGGATTGGATCTATGAACGTAACATATCGTATTACCGGATCAGCAATATTCCGTATTACCGTACATTCCGCTTGTACACGTCGTATCATTACAAATATTGTAGCAACGATGTTTGGACGCGAGGAACCGGATCGTTATGTGCTCTTTAGTAATCATTATGATGCATGGGTTAAGGTATTGTTATTCTTTTAAAACTACCGATAATTAATTATTCAGGTTATTGAAGTATTTATAGTATCGGTATCAAGAAAAAAAAAAGAAAGCTATGACAATACTTTTCTTCTTAAGTTTGCCACATCTATTAGGTGCTTATTATATTTATACTTAATTAAGTTAGTATATGTATTTAATTGCATATATTTTTAACTTATTGTCTAATTTTTGTTGATAATTTAATTGATATTTTTATTGATACGGGTTCCTTTGCTGTGGAAAATTCATTCTTTACTTGTATGAATATATTTTTTCCTTAAGAGAAAAAAGCTAAATATAATTAGCAATTAGAATTAATTATCGGTAAAAAACTAAATGAATGAAAAAATAAAATTGACGGAAAACATTTCATAATCTATATTTGTTATAATATCTTAAACTTCACTTAATATTTTCAATTTTCAAATATTTGGATAATTATTATTTGGTTAAAATAACAATAATTAAAAGTTAAATTATTGAAATTAATAAAAATTAGTTAAAATTTAAATTGTTGAAATATTTATACGTTTCGTTCTTTTTACTTTGTTCAATTACGTGGAAACAGTGAAAATTAAGTAGAAAACAATAATACATATATCATTACTGATGTCGTAAAAATGAAAGTAATAATTGTTTCACGTAAAACATGCGTGATAACTAAATCTTAGTTGATAAAATGATAATTAATAACTAATGCTTACTTTAATCATCATGTTGATAACTAAAAGTTTACCTATGAGAGGAAAATTTTTTCTTTTTTTTTTTATAGGGTACAGTTGATCCAATTTCCGCCACAGGTACTATGCTTGAGATGGCACGAGTGTTGTCAAAAATGAATGAATCAATAAAATGGCGTCCACGACGTACAATAATGTTTTGTTTATGGGATGCTGAAGAATTCGGACTTATCGGTAAGCAAGCCGAGTTCATTCTTTTACAACGGGATTATTACAGTAATCAATTATTCACCGATAATCGATCCTTTTTTTTACGTCAAATATTTTGTACATTTAATTGCAAATTTTTTATTTGTCTTCTTTGAAATTGTAAAAATGAATATTTCAATTATTTTTTTTTTTTTTTAAAGGAAGTACGGAATGGGTAGAAGAATTTATGAAACCACTTCAACAACGTGCAGTTGCAGTAATTAACGTTGACAATATCAATGGTGACACATCACTCTCTGTTAAAGCTGTCCCATTGCTTTATCGTGTTATTGTCAACGCAGCTGCTAAGTAATTATTTCTATATATTGTTTTAAAATTTATTTAATAAGTAATTAGTTTTTGCTTTATGGTCTTTTCTGTCTTAAAATTGCAACAAAATTATTAAAATAAAAATTAATTTAAAAATAGTTACATATAATGTGAATAATACATGCATGGATAATACATGCGTAAATAAACGTATACATACACGTATAAATGTTGAATTGACGTGTATGGATAATACATGCGTAAATAAACGTATACATACACGTATAAATGTGTGAATTGACGTGTATGGATAATACATGCGTAAATAAACGTATACATGCACGTATAAATGTGTAACGATTAATTTGATTTGCATATTATATATTTCATTATGAATAACTTTTCAATTTCTTATTATGAGTAAATTTGTATTAATAAATGATAAAATATATCACATATCACTAATAATATGATAAAATATATCATATATCAATAGCAATATATCACATATCATTAATAAAATCATTTTTATTCAAGTTTTTGGAATTTAAATTACAATTATCCTAATTTTCAAATGTTTTTAATTCCATCAAAATAGAATCGAAAGTCCGAATAGATTGGAGCGAGAGGCAGAACGACTGACATTACTGGATTCGTGGAAATTTTATGCTCCGAAAGGACCGATTACTGGTGATCGATCAATTCCCGGCATTGCAGTACCAGGAACTGGATCTGATTTTCAGGTTATTTGATTACTTCCATATTTTTATACTTTATAATAATTATAAATTTAATAGGTATTGTACTAACATATGTTTAGAAGATTACAAATGCATGCATATTAAGATGGGAATTATGTTAATTTGCTCCAAAAATTATAACTTTGATAATTTTAGCGATTTATAACTTATTTGGGTATACCAGTGATTGATATGAAACTGGAAAGTGCCCCATCATATAATTATATGCTTTATCATACAATGTATGAAATTCCTTGGTTATTGGATAATTTTATTGATCAAAATTATACCGCACTAATGGCTGTGGGACAATTATGGCTCGAAATTGGACGAGACATCGCGGATAGTTTAGTTAGTTAGATATAAAGATATATATTATTCTTTGTCACATTATTTCTTCCATTATGGTATGTGCTAAGTTTTTATTAAGTGGAAGGTGAAGGTAATGCGAAAAATTAAGTGGAAGGTGGAGGTAATATAAAAAAATTATAGAAAACTGAAGGACAAATTTATTTTTAAATTTAGATAATTCCATTTAATTTACACGATTATGGTTTGGTATTGTCTGATTTTATTGATCGAATGGATCAACAATTGGAACATATCGGAATTCCAAAAGCCATTGGTGTAAAAACATATCACCTGATATTAAATAATTTACGAGAAGCATTAACACGATTTCAGGTTGTTGCGAATGTAATGCAGGAAATTGCTCAGGTATCACTATATCATATATATTTAATTTGGTACACATAATTTTAATGTTTATTTTCAATTTGAAAATTTGCTTTATTGAAAGTCGTTTCTTTTTCTTTTCTTCTTTTTTAAATTTGGAAATTACAGTACGATAATGATGAATTTTTATAAAATTTTGTATAAAATTCATGCAAAAAACATTTTTAATTTCATTTTATTCTTTATGATTTGGATAATTATTTGAAAAAAAAGGAAAAAATAAATTTTAAGAGGAAAAAAATTCAATATTTCGGAATGCAATTTGGAATAAGACAATAAGGAGTTAGGAAGTAAATAAACTATTTGATCAGCATTATTTAGAAATTCATTTGCTGAATTCATCATATATATATATATATATATATGTATATATGCTTAATAATGAAATTTGATAATTGAATTATTAAAAGGAGTAAAATTTTTTTAGTCTGTCAATACGGGTCATGAATCGGTAAGTATTAAACAAGCAGAAATGTTGAATAACCGGATGCAATATATTGAGCAAGCATTTATTGCTGAACAGGGCATATATCCGGAACGAGCTGAATTTCGTCATTTGATCTTTACCAGTAATAGTATCCATAATGATTATGGAAATTTACTATTTGGGGAGATTTTGGATCCAGCATTGCAATGGCATAATGCTTTAGTTACGGGTAATTTAAATAAAACAAATTATTGGTTAAAAATGATGAAAACTGGATTTGCTAAACTACATTATGGTATCGAATCAGCTATTTTGGTATTGGATATGGATGGATATTATAATTAAAAAAATAATTGTTGTTCATCTTAGATTACAAATATTTGCCTTCATAAAATATCTGTAATTAATTAAATAATAGCATTAATTATTTTTGGGAAGTATGGAAAGTTTGAGCATTAAATTTTAGAACGGTATGATTTTTTGCATATTTTAAATGCTATCATATAATATGTATATGTACATTTCATATTGCATTTCTTATTTTATAAACTGCCTTTAATAGACTATTCATTTTGATATTTAATTTTTTCCACAAAAGAAAAAAAAAACAAAAGACTCTTCCAATTACCTATTCATTTCCATATTGTTTTTCATAATTTTTGCTAATTAGGACCTTTTTTTTTCTTTTTGATGAGAAATTTAACTTCCATATTCTTTTTTTGTTATTATTCGCACAAAAATTTATTAGCAGTTTTTCATTTAATGATTTCTTTTCATTTCCATCACATAACAGATACAAAGTGTCCATACATTGTTCGAAAATTTATGATTGTTTAAAAAAAAGAAAAGAAAAACGAAGAAATTATTATTAATTCATTAATGATACACATAATATTTTATCTTATCGTATAGGTCGTAATGAGATCATTTCCTGATTAACTGTAATTAACAGTGAGTGAAGATGATGATAATGACAATGATGGTAATGATTATGACGATGATGATATTTTTCTCTGCTGTATATCATTATTTTCATTTTTGCAATCATATCATAGATGTGAAATTGGAATGAAAAAGGATGAGTGGATTATTTTTGGTCAAGTACGCCGAAATAGATTGGCAAAGTTGAAAACCGGTTTTTTGAGAAGCCTGTTAAGCTGTGTCAATTGTGTCCGTTCCTCAGTTAATATTTGTCCATTTTTTGAATTCATTGCCGTATCATCGACATTTTCACCTAAATTTTTTCTGTGGAATTGTTTTTTTTTTTTTAAAATAAGCCGAAAATTATGGAGTTAACGGTCAAACCAAACCTGAAAATCTTAACATGGCTACTCAATCTCAAAAGCTCTTTTGATCTTGATCTGATAAGCTTCCCTATAAGCATTATCATTCGCACAACAATGATGATATTGATGTATTGCTTTCATGAATTTTAAATTTAAATCTCAACCAAACCTGAAAATCTCCTCAAATTACGCAATGAAAACTTCCTGATAGTATAGAAATGTGGATGTGCTCGAAGTAGGTGTGATGAAATGTGAGCAATGCAGGATAGTCCAAGAAATAAAAGCAGTGGAGTCATTGCTACCTAAAATTAAACTAACAAAAAAAAATTCTAAAAATAATGGAAAGAATATTTGTAAATATGGTGTTGATTTTGTTGCGCATGGATTTTAAAGTATTACTTGAATTTCAGGTTAATATTTGTTTACAAATTGACTCTCAATTAGTAAACAAATATTGACCTGAAAGTACTTTCAAAAAACAACGAAGAGGTGGCAATTTCTCTTCATTATGCAAATCATTTGAATGTAATTACAACAAAACTGCATTAAGTGAGCAAATCGATGAACATTCAATGTGAATAAATTCAGAGAAAAATTCAAAAATAAGTTCAAAAAATTCAAAAAAAACAAAAATAAAAAAAATTGAAAAAGAAAGTAAAAAAATTCAAAAATGAAATAAGTTTATTACTTTGATATTTGGTATAAATATTAGCAACTTCAATGAGTACAGTCAATTAATTCATCATCAATTGATTGTTATAAGTAATGGATGGATAATCATCATTTCATAGTTCCCTGGTCAAAATTGACCAATTCCGCTTTTCTTGCTCCGGCATTCCAAATCATCCTTGCTTATTTTTTTCATGCTAGCATCCAAAATCTTCTTCTCTCCGACTTCCCAGTTTAAGTCTTATGAAAGTTTTCACAAATAATAATTTATCGGCCTTTCTATGAGACTGCTACTGCTGGATCTAACGGCGATAAATTCTTAAGTCAAATTTTACTGATTGCTTTTCCAGTTGTTATCACAGCTTTTCGTCAAATCATTTGCTGCTATGCCTTTTTGAATGGGATACTAGTATTTGAAGCCTTAAAATCCGGGATAAGTTTACTGATTCAAAAAATGCAGGAAATCGAAAATAGTAAACTCCAAAAAAATATTGAATTTAAAGTCCCAGTTGTTCAATTGCCATTGTCACCTACTAATATACACTCGCAAAAATATTGCATCAGGTTTACATAGTTTGAAATATTTATCTTGTTGCAAATATAGAAGGACATTACTGATTAATAAGTTAACAAGTAGACAGTAATGATGAATTTAAAAGTACCAAAATTTAAAAAGCAAAAAAAACTGTCTTTAGCAGTACTCCAGCCATTCACACAATAACCATTTAAAATGAATAACAAGAATAATTACATAATTTTAACAAATTATTACCAACAAGAATTATTACATAATTTTCAAAATAGTTCAGTACCCCTTGATGTCCCCGAGATATCATAGCATAATCGCATGTTTACAATAAATCTACATCAGAGGTATACTATTTTTCATCAGCATCTACTGCCTCTCAATCATTTCTTGTATATCAAATCCTTCTTTTGTTCAAAAGAACGATCAATACTTGATTAGTTTGATTAACATGTGTCCAAACTTTTTAAATAAAATTTTTGCAATTTAAGTTTAGTCGAAAAAGTATTCAAAAGCGAGAAAAAACAAAAAGTAACCAGAAATGAATGAATCCATCATTTCATCTTTCATATCGGCAAAAAAGAAAAAAAAACAAAAAACAAAAACAAAACTAAAAGCTATACAAAATTAATAGTGTAAATTCATTTTTCAGTTAAATTTTTATTTTCTAATAGAAAAGAAAATGGAAAAATATAAGAAAAGTCTTCACTTCATTTCATTCATTCTTCTTAAATTGAAAAAAAACAGCAATGAACATAGTGACGGGTAAAAATTTAATTTTTTTTTCCTTCAAGCCTATATATGTCCCTGTAACAATGCAACATACTTGTAGCAAACGCATTCTTCATTTAATGTAATGAAAACAACGAAGTCTCGTCATCTGCTATGGTTTGTATAAGCGAAAGAAAATTAAATTCTTTCTTTATTCATTGTTTTTTTTTCCAAACGTCCTTACATTTACATAGTGTAAGCTATAGAATGCTATGATGTAAAATTGCGCCAATAAAAAAAAGAGAAGAATTCTGCAATAACAAACGAAAAACAAATGGTACCTTTTGAAATTACTTTAAAAAAAGAAATCAGTGGAATCTTTTGCCGCCAAGTTACTATAAATATTAAACTTGATAATTTAATATTATTTTATAAATGTATATATTTTTTTTACATTAAATTATCAAGTATACGCACAATACATATTTTTTTATATTAAATTATTAAGTATATATATATATATATATATATATATATATATA